TTTTCTTTTTTTACCCCAGGCATAATTACCCAGGTGAATAGTGTCACCTCGGATACTGTTCCCGAGGTGAACAGTGTCACCTTAGGTATTGTTCCCGAGGTGAACAATATATATATATATATATATATATATATATATTTACCTCGGGTTACTATTCCCGAGGTGAACAATATATCGGGGTACTCTACCCAAGGTGGAACTAATACATATACCAAATCAAGGTTTTGTTTTGCAAGGGCATTGGTTTAAACCCATGGTCAGTGACTCTTAGTGATGTAAAGCTGGATTTTCTTTGAAAATTCAACATGCTATTTGCCAGTTCATCCCTTTAACAAGGAAATAAATTTTATGAGTTTAACTCAACTCGTCCCTTAGTAAGGGAATTAATTTTTACGAGTTTCACTCAGCTAGTCTCTTTAATAAGGGGATGAATTTTTACGAGCTTCACTCAGCTCATCCCTTTAGTAAATGAACTGTTTTCACAAGCTTTACTCGTCTAATCTCTTTAGTAAGGGAGTTTGGTTTTTTGTTGGCTTTATGTAAAGCATTAGCACATACGTCATTCACAAGTAACTAAAAACATAATATTTTATTGCATAAACACGAGGCTCATTCATTTTATTAGTGATGGTGACTTTATTGGAAAATAAGATGACATGTGAGGTAGTTATCCTCCCTTTAAAGTGATTTAACTAACATGCCCCCGATTTTTATTTTAAATGACTTGATGAGGCTGATTCCAGTTGGGAGGCAACTTTTATCACACTAGCCTTCTGAGCCGAGTTGGATTCATCATCCAGGTCTACTCATCCACAGATAATCCTGATATCCTCAATTGGTTGCTGCCCTAGAAGGCGATTATTGGGGTTCGTCCCTTCATTGGCAACAAACCTTTGTAAATGACCCATTCGAATCAGATTCTTAATATGATTCTTAAGGTCAAAACAATCATTCGTAGTGTGCTCATGATCCCGATGGAACCGACAATACTTATCTCAAGATCTTTTCGCTGGATCAGACTTCGTCTTCTGTGGCCATTTAAAAGACGCATCGTCTTGGATCTATAAAAAAATATGGTCAATTGACGTATTCAGAGGAGTGTAGTCAGCATACTTATCTAAGTCCTCTCCACGAGAGGTTCTATCGTTTTGGTTGAATAATGATTTCTTGTATTTGGTTTCCTTCTCATCCTTAGTACTAGGGGCGAACCTTTTTTTGGCATCTCCTTCATTTTCGTTCTGTGCATTTATGGCGTCTTCAACATTCATGTGCTTCTGCGCTTTGACCAACAACTTTGTCATGCTGGTGGGAGGTTCTTTTGACAAGGAAAACAGGAATCTGGAGGTTTAGAGTCCTCCCATGAAAGCAATCAAAGCCACTTTGTCGTCTATTTCTTCTACCTGCAACATCTATGTGTTGAATCGAGTGATGTATTCACGGATTGACTTTCCTTTCTGTTGCTTCACAGTCAGCAGGTAGGTGGTCGGCCTCCTATGCATCTGGCTTGCAATGAAGTGGCTTACAAACGGCTTACCCAATTTTTCAAAAGTGTCGATGGTTCCCGGCTTCAGCTTATTGAACCAAACTCGTGCCGATCCCTTAAGGGTTGTGGGAAAGGCTCGACACATGATTTCATTCGGCGCATCGTGTAAATGTATAAGAGCTTGAAAGGTCTCCAGGTGGTCGAGGGCATTTTTGGTCCCATTAAAACTTTTGAACGAGGACATTTTGAACTTGCTTAACAGGGGGCATTTCATAACGATGGGGCTGAACGAAAAGCTGGTCTTCCGCACCAGGTCATCTATGGCGACATGACATTTCCCCTTCATAGCCTGCATTATATCTTCCATTTTCGCCTTGAGATCCTGACCTGCAAGTCAAAATGGGTAACATTTTCTATCTCATTATTGATTGTTGTGTCTCCATGAGGTCAGGAACTCCGTGGAAGAGATGGATGAGCCACATCTCTATGTCAATTTCCAACCTAGCTTTGCTCCACTTCTGTCTCATTTCAGGGAGGGTTGTTATTCCACTCCTTAAGGTTTCTCTTCCCATCGTTTGGGTTTGGGAGATCTTGTCGTGGAAAATTATGCTGAACCAGTGGACCCGGTGGGAGAAGATGTTGCAAGATCACTACATTTTGCTGGATCAACTGGTTCATACCCTGATTTAGTGTTTGGACTTGCAGTTCCAACACTGCAAGCTGTTCCTGGTCGTTTGAGACGTCTGGGTGTTCACCCGACCCTTCCCGTTGATTGGATCCATGCAATGATGTTTCTTCTCTAGTAACCATATCGGACCGCGAACGCATATACCCAACCGAGCAACTTATTGATTTAAGGGAATCGTCGTTCCCACAGACGGCATCGACTATTAAAGCGAAAATCAGCATGACCCGAGACAACACTGTTTTTCCTGCAAATAAGAGAGGAGAAGATCGATGAATCTTGATGACACCAAGATCGATGAATCTTAACGACACCAGTGTTGTGCCTGCCAAGAGCTTTCCGACGATCAAGTCAATCACCGGAGGTCTAAGAGAAAAATAGGGATTTAATATATCGTTTTTGTCATATCTGATTGACTGGTAGGGTCTTGTTCTTATAGCCGGCTCTCCCTTAATTCATTGCAAGAGTAGAGTAGATTTGTTCGTTGCGAGATCATACGAGATTTGTTGGGGAGATTATATGCTCCTTTGAATTTAAACTTGTACCGAGATTATCTTTACCCGATTGAGCCACTTTGTCTTATCTATTTATTTAAATTCTCCTTGAATTAAAAATGATCTTATTTATAATATCTTGAAAGTCAACAGAGGGTAATGAAAACATGCTTGCGGGTAAAAGTAATTTACAAATAAACATCATGGCATTCATTAGCCTGGAAGAAGGTGATGAGTTTTAGCTTCGGTTTCAAGGGTGGAAAGATCTTCACATGACGATGAATATTTCTGATGGTTGATGTGTGAAAGGCTTGTTCAGTTCATTAGCAGGTTGGTCTGGTTTTATTAAAGAGGATTTGGAATGTATACTTTTTTAGTAATGAAGTTGACGTTATCTATTACTATTTGATATAGAAAACACTATGCTCTTAATCATATATTTCTCTGCACTTGTTTTTTTAAGGTGATGTTGTATCCAAATACCCTCTATGCCAGATCTAGAATAATGTTAAAAAGGATAATTTTTAGATATAGAGGCTGCAACATTAATTCTCTCACCTTTGAACTAATCCACTTGTGGATGCAATTTTGAGTTTTTTTTTTATTATACGATGCTCCTAATCCACATTGTAATAAACGCAACTCAAATCGGTAATTTTAAATAATATATATTGCAAACAAAAGTTTCTTTATAGTCTGATAACCTTGATTCGGGAAATTATAAAGTCAAAGTCAATAATACGTGCAATCACTTGCACCATTTCAACATATTTTAAAAATATATTAAGACTACTTAACCACGTTCAAATTATTGGCGTTATTTTTACAAATTTCGAGGGTTCAATAGAATTAATTTTGTTATAGGGCAACATCAACTAAGCTTGAGTGAGGTTTTTACAATTTATTTATTAATTTAATTTCACTGAACAAGTTGGGAATCCCTAATTATATCAATAAGACTCTGGGCCGTGGTTGGGGCTGGCCCCAAGTATAAAGACATACCCAAAGCCCCCTCCATATACTATACCTTAAGCTCAACCCATTTTTCTTCTATGATGATTGGGCCAGGGCTCAACTCGTGCATTATTAAATGAAAGGAAGCATATGTAGGTGGTATATAGAAGCTGGTCATGTCCGTGTAAATAAATGGTGATGGTGGTCCCTATCTGACTACTTTGCATCTCATCTTGACTAAGGCCCTATTGAGGTAGTTGGAAGTTGATTGGGTTGTGAGTAGTGACAGTTACCTCCCAGAGGACGCAAACTAGGGTTTACAGGTGAACTAGCCAAGATGTAGGCCAACCATAAAAGTTCAACTAAAGAAGAAGAGAGCGGCACCTTATTTTGGTGATTCTAAATTTATTATACCCAACAATTTTCCCTGCACCTCATTCAATGAATTTGCCTACTGCCCAACCAACCCATATGCCTACATTACAATTCCTTGCAAAACTTGCCATATACTAACAACATGACTCCAGCACAATAGGTCGTCAGTGGCTTCTACTTTGCTACCATAAATTCTCAAATCAAGAATAACATTTTACATTAGGAATAAAAAAAACTTGACACATCCAATAAGATGAGGTGTCTTACATGAAGATAGGATCTACGATCAATTGTGATAGACTCCGCTAGACCTGTCAATGGAGTGAATTTTGATTCCGATCCGATTAGTCGGATATAGATTGAACAAAAAATTCGATAACCCGAATCCGATAATCCATTAGCTTAATAAATAGGATATGGATTATACTGATCCGATCCGATAAAAATCACACACACACGCACACACACTATATATATATATACTCCTATTAGAATTGTATTAGAGGTAACCCAAAAATTAAAAAAAAAAAAAAAAAAATCATAATGTTATATTTACAATGGTGTTCTCATTCACATGTTAATAAATCTCTTAATATACATGCTAATAATATCATATTTTTAATAATTATATATGTTAATAAATATGATTTTAATTCGAATTTGAATCCGATTCTATTCGAGTCCGAACTAAATAAGATATAAATTGAAACATTCAATTCGAGATCTCGTTAGTAATTCGAATCTGATAATTTGTTTACTTCACAAATCAGATTCATTAACAAGCCTAGACTCCACTTTGTAAGACACCTTGTAAGTATATCAGTATTACAATAACATGCTAATAAATAACAAACAATCCATTTGAACCGAACATTCATTTAATTATATTTTTGATCAAGTCGGGGCAAAATATACCATGGGTACTACCAAAACCAATTCGGACATAAATCGACCCATTGCCAGCTTCATACCAGGTGTAAATTATGCCAGAAACCCCACTCTATCCATCCATCTGCCTGCGTGTCGTTTCTTGAAATGGGAAACGGCGTTGACAGCGTCCCGTGCCTGAAACACATTTTCGATATGTGAAAGTATTATTATATTATATGAATATTGTGAATATTAGATATATATATATATATATATATATATGCATATATTCGCAATTTTGTTTCCCCCTCTCTCTCTCTCAGTATCTGTATGATCTTCACTCTAAGAATCCCCTCTCCCGTTAATTCTCCATCTCTCTAATATACCTCGATTTCTCTCTAAATTTGAATTTCTGAACCCTTGGTGCTCGGCCATGGCGATTTCTGCGGCTGCTCTTGTCGTTCCGTTGGGCGTTCTCTTTCTTTTCTCCGGTCTTGTTGTCAATCTTATTCAGGTAATCAACGTTTTGGATTCGATGGGTTTATATGTACACTTTCGATCTGATTAAGCTAAATAGATGTTAGTTTCTTTACTTTCTCTTTTTATTTCTCACGCGTTCGGGTTGTTTGCGTCTGTGAAGAATTCGTTACTTCATGCTATATCTGTAAATAAATGATGTATATGTATACAGATTGTTCTATTTTGTTGTATGGGGTTATTACATTGATCAAGTGTTTTCACAGAGTAGAATTGATTGCTGAACTTTGCATTTCATTTGGTAGTGCGGGTTCGTGGATTAGAGATAAAATCATCCCTTTTTGTTTCCCTCTCTCCCAGGCGATCTTTTTTGTCCTTGTTCGGCCATTTTCAAAGAATACATACAGAAGGATTAACAGAGTGGTGGCAGAGTTATTGTGGGTGGAACTCGTATGGCTCATTGATTGGTGGGCAGGGGTGAAGGTGATTGCAAATCCTTTAATTATTTCATTTGATCAATTTCCTCATTTTCTAATTGTTAGCACCAATGTGGGAATGTGCTTGATTGAGCACTTGGTAACATTATGCCTGCTTGTTATGATCTGCTTTACTAATATACTCAAAGGAACTCTAATTTTTAGTGGATGTATTTGTCTTTATTAAGAATGTTATACTGTCTTAATGTTCATGGTTATGAATCACTTCTGAGCTGTCAAGGTTGATCTGTGGCTGCTCCACGGGGGATCAAACTATGGACAAAAGGGAAGTTGCTCTAGTGAGTGGCAAGACTTAATTAGAAAAATTAATTATGATACTTGCAAATAATAAAAGGCTAATTTTCTTTCTCACAGATAGCTTCTGGTAATATTGTTGATTCCCCCTTGTAAAAATAAAAGCTTGTTTGATTGTCCTTTCAGTACTACACTGAGTGGACTTTCATCTGTTAAGTTCTTATGAAAGATGATGAGTAGTTAATAAACTAATCAACTAACATGAGAGGCATTATTTATGATTTAGGATTTTATGACTTAATGTATCTGCGAATTCATCTGTTGATTACTGAAATATACTCCTGCTTGCAGATTCAAGTATATACAGATTCAGAAACCTTTCAATTAATGGGTAAGGCCAAAAATTTTATTGTTTGAGAGCCTGATGCTCCTTTGGATCTGAGTGGATGAATATCTTGTGCTATAATGCTGAGCAGTTTATTTTGTTGACTTCTGTTGGTAAATTTTTCAGGTAAAGAACACGCACTTGTCATATGTAATCACAGAAGCGACATTGATTGGCTTGTTGGATGGGTTCTAGCTCAGGTACTTATTCTATATTACTTTCATTAGACATTCAGTCATGTCCATGGACACACTATATGCACATGTGGGCGGACAAGGGTTGAACAAAATGTGTATGTGTTATGTGTATGAGAGAGAGGAAAGGAATGGTCGAGGAGAGAGTTGTAAGTTCATAGAGAAGTGAATTTTAAAGTGCTGCATTGGAGTCTTTCAAAAACCAGACGCTTAAGTTGGCAGAATAGGGAGGGCAAACTTGTAAAATAGGTTCATGTGAATTTTATAATTGAGGGGTATTTTTGTGAAGTTAGAGCCACCAAAAGCAAGCCCACTCTTTTTAGAAGGGTTCATATATGTAATTGTATCTGTATTTGTTGAGAGGAACACTGATGCTTACACTATAGAAGTACTTTTTGAAGCAGATTACAGCATTTAAATTTTGTGGAACCGTTGATATGGTTTTGTCGTTGAATCTTTGCTTTATGTTGTGTTCTTATAACAGAGATCAGGTTGCCTCGGTAGCGCATTAGCTGTAATGAAGAAATCATCAAAATTCCTTCCGGTGAGAATTGGAAGTCAACATGTTCTGTTAATGCTTAAAAATAAAGCCTTTCAGCTTTCCTAGTTATGTCAGAGTGTGATCAGTCAGTTCTTTAACAGAGGCATTTTTTCTGTTTTCTCCTTGCTGATATCATTACATTCTTTATAATTCATATTCATTTTATATTTTATGGAAAGAAGAATTGGTTTTAATCTTTAATTAAGTCAAAGACTAAGCAAAAAGTCAAAAAGTTAAATTGAGGAAGTACAATGGAAAAGTCGATATCATGTGATAGCAATATTTTTAGCTTTTTGATGAATTGATCTTGATTTTCGATGCTTCAGTGTGATTGATATGGTTCACAGATGTTGCTAATGCTTAATAATAAAGCCTCTCACCTTTACTAGTTAGGTCAGATTGTGATCATTCAGTTCTTTAACAGAAGCATTTTTTCTGTTTTCTCCTTGCTGATATCATTACATTTAGGGCTGCAAATGAGCCGAGCCGAGCCGAGCTTTAGGCTGTTCGGGCTCGGCTCGTTTGTTTATGGGATCAGCTCGGGCTCGGGCTCGGCTCGTGACGGCTCAAAAATTTGAGCTCGGGCTCGGGCTCGTCTTGATTTTAAAAGCTCGGGCTCGGCTCGTTTAACAAAAAAATTAAATTAAAATTCAAAATTAATTAGTATTCTACAGGCCACATACACACTATCATGCAAAAAAAACACAACAATAACAACAAATTGCTATATTTGTGTCATTACAATATTCATTGTGTTTGCCATAGAGGTCTAAGGAAACCTACAGAGTACAAACTAGAAACAAGCTAGGAAAGTAAAATTTCATCCAAATTGAGAACCCAACCACTAGAAACATCATAAAGAAAACTGAAAACTAATATTCTAGGCATACATAAAAACTCATAGCCACCCAATTTAATCTATTTTCTTTTGGGTACTTATGTTATAAATTATAATAAAATCATATATATATATATATATATATATATATATATATATATATATATATAATATAATATAATATATATTACGTATATAAATATAACGAGCCTTATACGAGCTTTGTTCACGAACATTAACGAGCCTAAACGAGCTCATGTTCACGAGCCTAAGCGAGCCGAGCCCAGCGTTGCTCAAGCTCGGCTCGTTTACTAAACGAGCTTAAATATTGGGCTCGAGCTCGGCTCTGTTTGCTTAATGAACGAGCCCGAGCCGAGCCCTTAACGAGCCGAGCCCGAGCTGTTCATGAACAGCTCGGCTCATTTGCAGCCCTAATTACATTCTTTATAATTCATATTCATTTTATATTTTATGGGATGAAGAATTGGCTTTAATCTTTAATTAAGTCAAAGACTAAGCAAAAAGTCAAAAAGTTAAATTGAGGAAGTACAATGGAAAAGTAGATATCATGTGATAGCAATATTTTTAGCTTTGTGATGAATTGATCTTGATTTTGGATGTTTCAGTGTTGATTGATATGGTTCACAGATGTTGCTTATCTCTTGGCAATAGTACTTGTTAGTGAAAATTTACTGTGATATGTAATTAAATACAAAAGCTATTAATTTTTTTTAGGTTTGTGCCAATATTTCCTTTATCTTCTCATTGCTCTCTTTTCTTTTTGTTGATTTGTCTTTTGAGCCCCTTACACCTTCAACTAATATATATGCAAAGGATAAAGCTATGTCCAATATATGCAGGTTATAGGTTGGTCAATGTGGTTTTCTGAGTATCTTTTTCTTGAAAGAAGCTGGGCCAAGGATGAAAACACATTAAAGGTATACATGTATTTATACATTGGTGAATTTGAGTGATGCATGTCACTATACATTGTTCTGTCTGTCTCTCACTCCCACTCACCTCTTCTCTGCTTATTTGTCTTTTGTGTTTGTGTGCTTAGATGCTTGATTTTGGCTGCCCTTAAGTAATGTGAATTTTGTGGGACTGTGTCTGCAGTCAGGTCTTCAACGGCTAAGGGATTTTCCTCAGCCCTTCTGGTTGGCACTTTTTGTAGAGGGGACTCGCTTTACACGGGCAAAGCTTTTAGCTGCTCAAGAATATGCGACTTCAACGGGGTTGCCTGTTCCTAGGAATGTTTTGATTCCTCGTACTAAGGTTAGACTTCTACTGCACTTTGTATTGAAACAGAAGATTATTATTGTTATTATTTTTGTAATTTTTTTCCTTTAATTTCCATATGTTCTATTTTAATCCATTTTCCTCTCCATACTTGTGAATAACTTTGTTTCCATTTTGTGCATCTAATATTCCTTCTATGTCAGCATATAACTACCTCCTGGTAGTGTGTCAACTTGTTGAATTCTTGTCGAGTTCAGTTTATTGTTAAACTTGAATGCTCCAACCCTTTGAGCTAAGGTTTAATAGATTATACTTGGCTTTCCATTTATTTCCCTTCTGTAAAAATGATCTTTCTCATTAGAACGCCCTTTGCCTGAACTTGTGATATCTGGGAACTACAATAAAAGCAACTTAAGAAATGCCAGTCAGCGCCCCTTTTTGGGTTTATTTTGTTCACTCACACAGTCACACATACATTTTATCATTTTATTAGATAAGTCGATTCCTAACTTTTATCTCAGATCATGATATAAGTAAGTAGTTATATTATTGTATCAGCCCCAAACCTCGTGAATTGATCTTTACAGTGCTTTCTCTATCAATTAGATCCTTTATCCATAGAATAAAGTAGCTAGGCATATCTATTTCTTCATATTTTAACTTTTATGAAGTTTCTTTCTTTGCTATGCACACAACACAAAATAGACGGTCATTCTATTTTCATCGTAGAATGATTATTCGATCCTTTTTTCTTCTTTGGATTCTAATTCAATCAAAACTTTTCAAGTTATCCTAATCTGTATTTTCAATAAAACCGGAACAATTCCCCTCATTGACTACTACATTTGGATGAAATCTCTCATATGAGTTTTGTAATTAAATGAATAGGTTCTATAACTGATACAGGACTCAATGGAGCCATTTTACAAATAATCTCTCATGCCTTACCATGGTGTTACTCTACCACCGAGTTAAAAGGGCCTATTTAATTCAATTCCTGAATGAGTCACTATGTGGATAAATTTTCAATGTGGTTGGAGAGCCCGTTGATAATTTAGGTCCTGTAGTACTTGCAAAACATCTCCTATTCATAGAGCTGCGCCCTCTTTTATACAGTTAGATACAAAATTATCTTATTTTGAAACAAGAATTAAAGCAGTAGATCTTTTAACCCCTTATAAAATGTGCATCATCTCTGTCATTTTATTCACATTGATGGTTTTGTAAATTAGCCCAACACATACTCTTGGAGATTAACTTTAATAGTCTACTTAATATTTCATTAATTGGGTGGGGGACCTAGTTTTTGGCGCCGGATCTCTCTTTAATTTTACAACTATATGCTGTAGTCTGCTTTAAAGCCACAAGTGCAAAGTGGAACTGCTGTTGTTTTACAACTACACCTTGATTCTCTTCCGTTTTAAGAATCTTGTAGTTGTCAGTTGCAGTTGTGTATTTCATGCACTGCACAGCTGTCCATTTAGGTTTATCCACAAGTGTTTGCAGTAAGTAAGACAGGACTGCTACGTAGAGTTATACCTCCATTCTGCTGTGTTTTATGATGGGATCCTTGTTAGTTGTCAATTCTAATTCCATAGTTCTTGCACTGCATGACAATTTATTTTTTGTGCTCCACTATACAAGCATATATTATCGAGCTTGGCCTGAAGAATCTGCTTATACTAATACATTGCTTTCAGGGTTTTGTTACTGCAGTAAGTCACATGCGTTCATTTGTTCCAGCCATTTATGATGTAACAGTTGCTATTCCTGTAAATTCCCCTGCACCGACAATGCTTAGGCTCTTTAAGGGGCAACCATCTGTGGTAAGCCTACGAAACCTGAGAATTTTGAACAGTTAGTTTAAGCATTTTGGATATATGGTAGCACTTAGTGTGGTAAGATATTTACATGCTGTGGTTTGGAAGTCATCTTCACATTTCAAGTCTCAGAAAAAAATTTAACTTTGTCAATTGCAATATTAGTGCTTGATTCTTTAATTCTGAATTTATTTATTTATATATTTTTTGCTTCAGTACCTGTCACGTGTGCCACAAAATATAGTTCATCCTTGTGGGGAGTAAAAATAGATTAGCCATCTTGTGCATGAATGTGGTGATAGCTTCCTATAAAAAATAAATAATAAATAGATGTGGTCATAACACTACATTAGATATCTAACTTGTTCTCTGGATAATATTTTTTGATTGTTTTCCCTATAGCATGAGATTCTGTGTGGTGGAAGTGAGGTAGCATTTGCATTGGAATACCCGTGTATAGGATCATTATGACAAGTTTGGATTCTAGAAATGAGAGAGAGAAAATTTAGTAATATGAAAATAACTTGAATACGTCTGGATGAACTTGGGCATGTGAAGAGCAACACATCATAGAAAGATAGAAGCATATATGAAGCCATCATCCAGAGCAATGTGGAAAATTATATTTTTTAGATCATGTCATTCTGAATTTTTATTTGAAAGCTTCAAGGTGTTGGTGACAATGGAATCATATGCGATTAAATTAGGTAATGTTGGCTTAATGGAAAAGATTGCATGAATTTGAAAAAATTTGTCACGATTTTAAGATCCCTTGCTTATTTTACAAGTTTTAATGGCATACTGTTGTGCAGGTGCATGTTCACCTCAAGCGGCATTTAATGAAGGATTTGCCCGACGAAGAAGATGCTGTTGCACAATGGTGTAGAGATGTATTTCTGGCCAAGGTGCACACCTTTCCTTCTTATCCGTTAGCATTTATTTTAGCTAGATGCTTATACCTCAACTTGTGTTGCAACCTGTTTTGTTTTTGTTGGCTTTTTCAAGTTTTCATCTTTGGATGATAACTTAAGCCGCAGACATGCTCACATACACACATACATTTAACTTTACACTGGCTACACTTACACCAACTTCAGCATGAATAGTTCATTGGGTTGCATTCAACAAAATTCTTGTTGAGTTTCCATGCAATTTTCTTGATGTTTGCTTTTGTCTTACCAGGATAAGTTATTGGACAAGCATATAGCTGAGAACACCTTTGGTGACCAAGAATTGCAAGATACTGGACGGCCAATGAAATCTCTTTTGGTACAGTACTTGTTCTACTAATTAACGGAACCTACAATTTTTTATTTTTATTTTTGAATTTAATTTGTTTTGATTGTATTCCTTGCTTGTATCGGTTGTCTCTTGAACCAGTTGCTTAACTTATCTGGCAAATTACAGGTTGTTGTCTCTTGGGCATGTCTGCTTATTTTGGGAGCCTCGAAATTCTGCCAGTGGTCTTCTCTCCTATCATCATGGAAGGGTCTCACATTCTCGGCAATTGGCTTGGCCATTGTTACGGCCCTTATGCACATATTGATTCAATTCTCACAGGCGGAGCGTTCAACCCCTGCCAAGGTTGCTCCATTGAAGTCCAAGAATGAGGCAAAACACTCAGAAACAGGTCGAGAAAAACAGCAGTAAGTCAGTCACAGGGTTGTTTCCCTACTCTTTCATGGCATCATCAGCATCCCCATTAATAGTGTTTTCGTTTTGTGAACAAATATGATGTAATGTATTTTGCTTCTTTCTTACCTTAGTTTTTACAGATTGTAGCCATATCAATTCATCTAATAAGGGTATTTTTGTATTTCTTTTAAATGTGGAAATCTAGTAGTTCACTTGTCATGTTTTACCTTTCCTCCTCTTACTTTGTTAAGGTATTAAATATATCCTAATATTTAGATTTTGTTTTTGATTTAGAAACTTCTAAACACATTTTAGTATGTGGAGATCACCTATTTGATAGATTCGATTCCATGTCAGGAATTTGTTTTGGAATGCTTTGATAAGTCCATGGCTGTTACACACGTATATATGAACACCTTGTTTGGTGATGTCATCTCTTTTTGTCTTTTAATTTATTTTTTTATTCTTTTATCACATAAAACACTCATATTTCACTATATAAACTAGTTGGCTTAGTAACTATTTTACTAATAATTATGAATTATATAGCCACATTAATTTTCTTTTTCTATTTTTTTCTATTACAAGTCTTTTGAGTCCTAATTTCTTTACTAATTCACTGTATAAACTAGTTGGTTTAGTAACTATTTTACTAATAATTATGATTTTCTATAGCCACATTAATTTTCTTTTTTTTTTTTTCTTAATTTTCTTTTCTATTTTTTTTTTTCTATTACAAGTCTTTTAAGTCCTAATTTTCTTTCCATTAGGATCATTAAGTCCTACTTTTGAGATATATATGTTTTTTCATTTAAGTCCTACATCGTTACACATTTCATTTATATTCTTACTAAATTTTATATACCCACAGCATTAGACATAAGATTTAGACTCATATATATATATATTATGAGTAAAAAGAAAAAAAAAATGCATTTTATTAATTTTTTTATAAAATAATTATTATTTAAAAATAAGGTAGTGTATTCTACACAAAAATAAATATTTCTGAATTGAATTTAAATTAGATTAATTATTATTTAAACTAATAATGCGGGTACTTAAAGGAATATATGTAAAATATATTATAAATCAGTTATTGAATAAATTTTTAATCACTATTTAATAAGGGCATAAATGGAAGATAAAACAATTTTGCACTTAAATAAGAAATAAATAAATATAGGACTTATTGATATTTTTTAAAAAATCAAAAAAATTATTTCTATTTAATAAGGGCATAAATGGAAGATAAAATAATTTTGGACTTAAATAAGAAAAAATAAATAAATTAAAAGTAGGACTTATTGATATTAAAAATTAAAAAAAAATAAAAATTAAAAAAACCTAGAATTTATTTATTAAAAAGTAGGATTTGGAAGTTATTTTTCAGATAGGAATCATTGATTCACCCAACTTGGGCAGTGGGCCCACCAAGAAGTGGATGTTCACCAATGGTTTTAATGTTCACTCCCTACGTAGATGCGCTAACTAACTGTTTTCTAAAGTTTCTAATTAGAACAGGAGTCCAACATTCTCTCTAAGTAATTTGTCTTATTTACTAACTAGGATTATTAATCCTAAAGTTTCTTTCTATAAGTAAAAATCCCCTCGCACATCTTTCTTCATCGGAAACCCTAAATTTGAAATTCTTTGAATAGAACATTGAATCCCTATATCCAATATTCAAAATCAGCCACAAAAAGAGGGGTGTGATGATGGCATGTAAGATTGGAAGAGGCAGAGGCAGAGGCAGACCACCAACGAGATCTATTGATAGCCAAGGACGGAACCTTCGACTTATTATTGCCACCAAAACCAAAATCATGGCAACATGGATTGTGAGAAAGAAGAGAACAACAAATTGTCGAAAAAGGAAACAGAATTACCTACCTTCCTTGTCGCATCACCAAGACCAAGACCAACATAGTTTGCTAAGTTCATCGTCTTTTGAATATTATCATATTCCTGGTCCCATTCCTGATCTACATGAGATTATGCTCAATTTGGATTCGAGTTTCTTCTTGAATTTCTTCGACAATATACCAGATTTTGAGGATTAAAAATTGTAGATTTTCAAGTATTTCTTTTTTTAATTAACATGTGTACATATTGAACAAGTATTAATTGCGTTTTAAAATCTACTAATTATTTTAAAATATTAGTCACCTATATATCTCGACTTGCTGTGGTATTCAATCTTTATTTTTTTTGGGGTAAATCTGTGGAAGTCAATCTTAATGATTCTTTAATACCTGTGAAATTAGACTTTTTAAAAATAAAATAAAAAGAAAAGAAAATTGAAACAATTGTCAACCATAAAGAAATTTCTAATTGTCAAACAGGTTTAGGTTTTTCTATTTTATATAAAACAGAATTAAAAAAAAAAATTCATGGTGGAAAAAAAGTTAAATTAAGCGGTCCCAGTGAAAGGAGCATGACTTGAAAAGAAAAAATATAATTCTGAGGTTGTCTTTTATTTTTTGTTTTGTATAGGTAAAAATACTCACATGCTCACAAATGTCCATAGATGAATCTATTGTCGAGAGATATCTATCATCCGTAAAACATGATTTTAACTTTCAATATGCATATAAATACATAATCTAAGTTTCTATAGATATCCATGAAGCCATTTAGAACAATCCATACGTTTCTATCATTCTTTTCTAATTTTAATATGCACATTCCTTTCAGTTCAGTTGGTTTAGTTTTGGGCCAATTTTATGTTTGAATCATTTGTACAAAAAAAATTATTAAATGGTGCCATTTAATAAATTTTTTTTTTCTTGTATAGTGCAAATTTGCAAGGTAATAAAGTGTATTCTTGTAAGCTTATTCTGAAGTGTTTTATATAGATGTCATTGTCCCTTTGTCCCCATTAAATCAAATCACAATTTTTGTTTTTTTAGGTATATATTCCGGGGTATTCGAGCTTTGCCCTTTGTCCCCATTAAATTCTCTGGATATTGTGTAAAACGTTTCCTCTACATGTGCGAGTTAAAATTTGGATTTTCATTTACAGATGTGATTTCAAAGAATTGTTTATATTGAAAGGGGTCAAACCTTAGACCTAATATTTCAAAAAGCACCACGCCAAAATAACTTACCACCTGAACCAAACATTAGGGTTCAAATCATAGTACTTTTCAAAGATCACTGGTCACATTGGCATTGTTTAGTTGTTAAAATTTCACTTTTTCAAGAATAGTGATATAAGGCTTTTGATGACATGAATTAATTCACTTTAACAAATAGGCCAAATCCGACTTTAAATCATGTTTTTTAATTTAAAAAACTCAAATATTCTTATTCATGCATGTTGCGACTCCAAATCAGATGTTGGAGTAATAAATCGTCCTGTGGTTGTTGAATTTAATTCAAGTAGCAACAAAGTGATATACTGTGTATATATATAGCAACAAAGTGATATACTGTGGTAAGAGATGCATGCATTTAAGTGCAAGAGCACATATTTGGTGATGTCAAGTTTCTAATTGAATAGCTACTCACAATCATTCTTGTTCTTCATCTTAGCCAGAATGCTGAGAAAGACATTCACAAATCATCATACTTGTTACTGGTGTCGATGGATCACCCACGTGGCAGTCAGCGTTTCATGTGGTTTGATGGAACTTAATTACCATAATATTCCAGATTCAGCTCTCAAGCTTTGATAGTGGTTTGTAGTAGTAGTGTTGTATCATAACTAGGAGCATTAATCTGGCTAGAGTGTGAAATGAATGGTTTCCACCGAAGATAGAGTTGATTCTTGGTCGACTTCATTCATATGGGATGAAGTGAGTATAATGATGACTGAATATGATCGTCTTTTTTTGAAAAGTTACTGCATTTGATTCTTAGTTTGATCAAGAACAACTAAAATTCAAAACCCAAAACAAAATATAGCAACTTTAAAATTTGAATCTTAAGAATATATAAACATGTAATCTTTTTTAATTAGGACGTTCTTTACAATAAACCTTCTCATTCTATGAATATGTATCCGAAAGGGAAAAAAAAATGGTCAATACTTAACTCCTCAAGAGGACGTACCTACTCCATTCTTATCATATATGTGGCACAGTTTTGTTATAACAATCCATGTGTCTTAGCTTAATCCTTTCCCCATTAAGGAAGGATGACGATAATAAGTTGCTTTTGGGGTCATTATTGGCAATGTTTTGGAAGCACGAATCAGCTTTGGCAACAACAATGCATATGAAAATTGAACTTATTTCAGTTTAAAAGAAATGAGTTTGAAGGTAAAAAAACAATGGTGAAAAAAGTAAAAGCATTGTTATGGCAAAGCCTGGTAAATAGTTGGTATAGTACTACTATAGCAGAGGGAAAGGGTCGGGCAGTACTTACTGTTCCCAACATTGGAAGTCTTAGCAAAGTTAAATGAAGGTCCCAGCTTCAAGTGGTGATACACACACACACACATATATATATAACATATACGTATACCAGTGAAAGTACTAACCATGCAGTGAAGTGTCCCCATTCATTTCCTACGAATTCCATTCCTTTTTGCCTCCAACGTCACAACCCCATCTCATAACCCCTAGACAATCTAACTAATTAAACAAGGCCCCACTTACATGAATCTTCACTCTCTCTCAACTATATATGAAGTGGTGCCCATGGCAGTCAGATTTGCTGCAACATTTTTGTCAGAGTATTTATATGTTGCTGAATGAATTTCTGTACTATAATTCAATTCATGCATTTGCACCTTTATTTCCGACCACTAAAACATTTTTGAAACACTACTTAACTCCTCCATTTCTATCTTGTTCAATTGCTTCTTAGAGAGACTAGCACGAACCTTCTATTTTTCATTGAAAGGATACCACCAAACTACAGACCTTGTAATTTCTGAAGACGCATCTTCTTTAATATTCAAAATGTACAGTTCATGGAAGTGACAAAAACGATTTTGGCAATGAATTAGTGCTTTCCATTATTTCTCTATACATTCACAACAATATAATACACAAAGTATATCTTATTCACATTTCTTTAACAGAAGGAACATCTGATGAACTTTCTGAGCCAAAACATGCGACACCAAGAATTTTAAATGGCATGATTTTTAACCCATGTTTAAGAGGTGCTTCTGAACATCATCTTCGCCATTATTGAAAACTTTATGAGCCAAAACATGTGACAAACCGACACGAGATTTAAGTGTGCATGCTATTAGGTGCACATACCTCAACCTCCATGCCCTTACACTATATATATATGCATCAGTTGTTTGGGTTCCACACCAACAATTGTGCGGATGGGAAGCACTTTGGCTACGCCAATCGGCCAGTTATATATATATATATATATATAAGAGTAGTTTGGTGCCAAGTGAATCTAAAACATTCAACTTTAGGTTAGTCGACAGAAACAAATTGAGATTAACTGACGAACGTGATTAACTAGACGACCCGAGTCTTAACAGAAACGGAAAACGTAAACCAATTAAGTACAGTACAGATGACAAGTGCATGACTAATTGACTATACCAGATATAAAACTGTCACTTGTAGGTGAAGTCTACGTGTGTATATATACATGCACTACTATTTATTTTTTAATGGACTGACTTCGTCAAACGAGAAGGAGAGTTTATACAACCCAAACTAGATTCCATTTATTTATATAAATATATATTGTATAAATGTTCTCGATCCTCTTAACAAATCTTTGTTTTAGTGTGCTTAATTACATATTTCAACACATGCATTTGTTTTAGATATCAACAGATATATCTGTGTTAAAATTTAAAATAAATTTGTTAAAACACAATATAAGTGCATTGAAACTAGAGATGTCAACACCATTATTGTGTTTGATCACAATTTTTTTTTAAAAAAAATATTAAATAACAATATATATTACATAAAATAATTTTTTTTTTTTTTTTGTATATATAGAAATAGAATTTCTTATTTTTATATTATTTTATCATACCAGTATCTTGCTTTTTCGAAATTTGTGACATCGCCTGTGTCTTATGATCTTATCCATGAAAAAAATAAAAAGCAATAAATAAATAAATTTTTACCTTTTTTAGTTTTGGCTGTTTCAAAATAATTTTCTCAATTCAAAATTTAATGTACTTATTTTTTTAATATTCCTAATTCACCAAGTTATAAAAGCAATTAAAGTTAAGTGGATTCACACAAAATGATACATATATTTGAAAATTCATTACCTACGGCTGCAACGAGTTAATTTCCCCTAACATGTAACAACCCTAACTAAACACGGTATCGGACCAGAAACTTTCTAGGGGAGTCACTCATCCTGTATTACTCCATATTAAGTTGTAGGCACGCTTAACTGCTGGTCATCACGGTTATAAAACGCGTTGTATTATAGAAGAGTATTGAATTTATATATAACACCGTCACATTCATGTCTAGGCGAAGCAGGATTGTGTATCTGTAGCTCGCCCAGTGTGATAGGCTACTGGTACCACGTGCACACACTCTTACCCACCCACCCACAAGGTTGCCACAATCACCCCCTTTGGGTCCAATATCTCTGTTGGCCACACTTTCAGGTTAAGCCAGGCTCTGATACTATTTGTAATAACCCTCACCCTAATCAGACACAATATTGTCCATTTTTGGCTCCCCCGAACCAAAGACTTCTCGGGGGGGCCACACATCCTGGTATTACTCAAGGTTAAGCACCCTTAACTCTGAAATTTTGGTTGGTTTATGACTATTACGGTTTTAAACGCGTTGTGTCATAAAATAGTGTTGAATCTATGGATATATAGCACTTGCTCCATCCACACCTAAGCGATATGGGATTGTGCACATATAGCTCACCCAGTGTGGTAGCTCACTGGTGCCACCTATACACGCTCACACACACCCGCCCACAAGATTACCACATAACACTTTTTGTGGAATGTAGAGAGTAAAAAGGGTCTGATTAATTTGTAATTCTGAAAATAATTTTAAAAAATTCAGAAAATAAAAAAATTGTTTTTCGAAAATTATGAAAGACAATTCTATAAAAATAGGTCTTTTTATAATGGAATTTTTTAAAAATATTTTTTAAAAAATTGAACCAATCAGAATTTATTGTATAATTTTAAAAATAAAATATTATTTTTAAAATTACAAACCAAACCGATGAACTAATAAAAATTTTCCAATTGATCACTATAAAAAAGTTTTCTTTAATTTTCCAAAGTACAAGGTATTTGAAATGACTCCTTACCGTGACTCACGAGGCAGAGAAAAGCCCTCTGTATAAATATTTTATCTATTTTTTGCAATGAAAATTAGATACTTCACTTTTTAAAATTTATTTATAATATTTATTAATTTTGATGTTGCAAGCAATTTCACAGTTATAAACTAGGTGACTTTATCTTACCCCTTGCCTTTTCTAATTTGTCAAGTGCAATCAGTCTCCAGAGACAACTGCTCTACCCTTCAGTCTCTCTCTCTATAAAAGTAGACACCTCTAGCCAACCATTTCTCCCTCCCACCTTTTCACCATGAATGACCCTGCAGCCTGCTCAAGTTTCTACTCTCAATGGTTCCAATTCAATCCTCTCCACCATTTTTCTTCAAACCCTCCACCACCTCCTCCTCCTCCTCTTCCTCCTCCTCAGCCTCCCTATACCCACAATTACTTGTACTCAAATAGCTTCATCAATAATCACAGCACCACCTTTCACTACCAAACCCCACCTCCTTCACCACCTCTCAGAGAAGCCTTGCCCCTCCTTAGCCTAAGCCCAACAAGACATGAAGAACAAGAGCCCACAGTTACTTGCGGCGATTCCATGGATGTAGAGTACAAGAACAAAGCCAAACAAGAAATTCAAACCCTCTTCTGCAATACAACTAGTCCTAATTTTAATGGTGAAGATGATGATGAAACTGTTACTGTAGCTCTACATATAGGGCTACCAAACCCTAGTGCTGCTGATCTGGCATCTATCCTCTCTTCTTCTTCTTCTACCGAAATCAACAATAAAGAAGGAGAAGATGATGTTTCTGGGTACCCATTGAACAGATTGAACAAGGGTCAGTATTGGATTCCAACCCCTTCTCAGATTCTCATTGGTCCTACTCAGTTCTCATGTCCTGTTTGCTTCAAGACCTTCAACAGATACAACAACATGCAGGTAAGTTTCCATCTCATCAAGCAAAACCCCCAAGACTGGTTTCTTTTCCCATTTTTCTCTCTCTCTTTTCTGTTTTTCTTCAATTTCCACTGCATCAAAATATTTAATTGATATGTTTGGTCCCAAATTTTCTAGCAGTGACATATTCAGAATCCCAATCTTATGTTGGCTTGATTTTCAAGAGGGAAGTGATGGTTTATTTTTAATTAATTTTTTTTTTTTTTTTTAAAAAAAAAAAAAAAAAAAAACTTTAATTTCAGTAAAATTATGAGTCTTTTTTGGTCTCCAGTTTTCTTTTGACAGTTTTGCATGGTTTATGAGTTTTGGGATTCTGAATATTTAAAATCTGATACAACTAAGACTGGGGTTCAGTACCCTTTATTTATGTGATTGAACAGCACAGGCAATGTTCCTTATGCTTTTGGTACACTTTGAAGTCTGTGCTGATCTCTCTCTCTACACCATTGGCAAATGTGTACAACTGAAAATTTTACAGTTTTCCCAGACCTCAGATAATCTTCTCCTTCACCAAGAAATTGAGTTCTCCCAGTGAACCTTCAGTCTTCATCAAAAGCTTGCAGACATGAAAACCACCATACATAAGATTATTTCAACCCTCTTATCTTACCTAACAAGCTAGCTAGACATCTCTCTTAACTTATTTCCTCATATTAGACCTCCTTTTCTTCTATATATATATTAGACCTAGTGGAATCAAATAACCTAGTAAGTAAACCATAGAATTTGAGGTGGAACAGATATTCCCATATGTTTGGTAGCATCTCTTAGGCAAACAATTTCCTTTATTTAATTGAGAATTTATCCAAACAAACAAATATGTTCATTATACAGCAACTGCTTCATGAAGAGCCCATAATTTTTAGCAATAAATATATTATTCTTCAACTTCTTCATCTAGTAAGTATTTGCACTTTTTCATATATGATCACAGATCACTCCAAAAAATGTGATGCCCTTTACATGCAGAATACTAATACTAGTACTCTTACTGATGATATTCAAATACCAAAAATAAAGACTTTTGACAAGAACACTTTATTTATAAAGTCAAAATATTTTCAAAATTTATTTGATATAAGTTTGATTGTCATAAAACAATTAGAGTGTATAATTTGTTGTTATTTGCTACTTTATGATTCATTCATTTATTTTTGGCAATGTGGGATATATATTGATGGATTTTGCAGATGCATATGTGGGGGCATGGTTCTCAGTATAGAAAGGGGCCTGAATCTCTAAGAGGCATTCAACCAACAGGGATGCTGAGACTTCCTTGCTATTGTTGTGCACCAGGGTGCAGGAACAACATAGATCACCCAAGATCGAAGCCACTCAAAGATTTCAGAACTCTTCAAACACATTACAAAAGAAAGCATGGAATTAAACCCTTTATGTGCAGAAAATGTGGCAAGAACTTTGCTGTGAGAGGAGATTGGAGAACCCATGAGAAGAACTGTGGGAAGCTTTGGTACTGCATATGTGGCTCTGATTTCAAGCACAAGAGGTCTCTTAAAGATCATATTAAGGCTTTTGGGCATGGTCATGCTGCTTATGGCATCAATGGCTTTGAAGAAGAAGACGAACCCGCATCCGAAATTGAACAAGATGATGAGTCCATGCAGTGATCGACATAGAAGAATTGGTATGGAAGTTAAATAGCTTACTTCATGAAGGAATTACATGGTTATTATGGCTTTCTGAGTGAGAATGGATTAACATTAAACATACTTGGAGAGCTACTCTCTCTTTCTTTTGTTTCTAGTCTTGCTTTTAGAATGTAGCTAGCTAGGACTCGAAATACTTTTGCCTTGAATCAACTTCATGTAAATTCATTTTGCTTTCAGCATTATGATGCTTTCCTTTAGTTGCTCTTTTCTAAGCTGTTTGTGTGTGTGTGTGATGAGAAAAATATGATGGATCACCTTAATTCATATATAACTAACAAATACAGAAGTAAAGAAAGCTAGAAGATAAAAAAATAGTTGAAGATCCTTCAGCTCAGACTTTGTGTGACCATAAGTATTATCTTAATTCTCATACATTCATATTACATGCATATATGGTTGATCCAAGTGAATTTTCTTTTCAGGCATTTGTCTTTATTAGTTTCATAACTAATTTCAATTATTTAGTAAATATAAGAGTCCTCACCAATCCAATCCAACGAGTATAAATCAGGAATTTATAGTGAAAGGATGTTAATTAAGCTCACTAGACATATAACAAGACAGAAGTGAGTGATCATATATTGTTCCAAATGTAATTGGGAATGGATTTTCATATATATATATATATATATATATATATATATATCCTGCAAACACATCAGCTTTTGGAGGATGCCATTTGATGCCCATTTGCTTTGGTTAGTGGATAGGATCCTCTCTCAGTGGAGAGATGTGTTTGTTGATGGATGGAACATATACCATTTGAGATTCACTATTGCTTGGAAAATTCAAAGCAAATGATTAGCTTTTAGAGAGAGAGAGAGAGAGAGAGAGAGAGAGAGAGAATGGGCAATGCAGCTAGCAATGGGCAAAGGTGAGACTGAAACTGCAACAGTGTGGAGCCAAAGTTCTCTTGGTAGTGCAAATTTGCAACATATACTGATGCCTTGTGCAGTACTGATACAGTGCATGTACACATGTTCTGATAGATAATTAAACTGTAGATTGAAACGACTCTACAATAACCCTTTGACTGCTCTCTCTCCACATCTTTCAATACAGCCTCCAATTGTAGTTAGTGATTTAATATGTATCTTATGGTAATGGATAACAAAATGAAGGTAACAAATAAAAGTAATATCAGTATTTCTTTATTTCTAGGGTTTTGGCTTGTCAACAAAGATATGGCGTATGAACCGTAGGACTACCATAAGATTGACTGACTACTGTCAGTTTGATAGCCCTGTGGGGTTACTTTCTCCAATTTTTTTTTTTTTACTGTTGTGCAATACCACCACATAAACCAAGAGTTGCAAGAACACAAACATGTACAATAGCATTTATTGATAGTCAATATCTTTCCTCTTGTTGGTCAGACCAAACTCTATCAACATTAACCCTTTGGCTCGCCTCTCTTTCCATTCTACAAAACCAACCCGTCCTCTTTCTCTCTCTCTCTCATATACATATAGTATGTATATATAACTTTCTGTAAATGCAAACAGCATACCTTTTTGCCCTTTGAAAGTACTAGTGCATGAGTACACAGGCAAAACCTTCTTTAAACCAATATCCATATACCTAACACTATAGTGAAGACAAGGATATACATATCATACAAATCCTTGCATGTGTGAACAGCAAAAGTATCAATACAGGCATATGTATATATATGAATTGTTATATGCTTTTGGAGGAACTACTTTTAATTATCATATTCATTAAAAAAGTTTTATTTGTCCTAGCTAGTTTTATAAGATATGTTATGCATACTATTGTCATGGACTTATCAGGGAACCCAAGCATCCCTTACATAAAAGTGTGTATATATATATATCCTCTCCCTTGTATTCATATTCCAATGCAAAGGGGACAGCTTTGTCTCTCATGGGCTCGAATCACTAGCTTTTTCCTTCTATGTTTTAGTTTAAAGCCACACATTTCTCATTCCAAGACATAGTTAACTTCCAGCATGTAGACAATAGTGGAGCAACTTAATTCATGAGAGAGAGAGAGAGATGTCACTACTGATTCCAATTTCCAAGTGACTTTTGTCATCAAACTTTTGCCCGGTAGGTTCATTAAGAGGGACAAAAAAAATAAATAAATAAAATAAAATTACTAGTTGATGCTCATCCACACACCCTCAAGGAATTATTTGCAGTACAAGAGAATTCGAACATTAGATCAAATGCTTCGGAGGACCAAGTTCTTACCCATTCAAGTCAAACCCTCAAATTCCAATGCATGGTATGTAATAAATATATACTTGGGACTTTAAAAAAATCAAATTCTAGTAACAATAATTCATCTAGTTAACATGGAAAAAGTGATTTAATCTTGAACCTATTATATATATATAAAATATATATTTTTCACATTTGTTCTTTCTGGTAACTGATACTCCTATGAGACAACTTTGCTTGAGAGGCCCCATTGGAAAGGAAAAGGAGTAAAGGCAAAAAAAAAAAAAAAAAAAAAAAAATCTTGACCCATATGTAAATCACTTTTGAAAAGAAAAAGAAAAAGAAAAGTATAAGTATAAATACTAAAATGGAGAAGAAACAAAAGTTCTTCTTTTGGACGCTATACCTAGGGATCTCTTTCTCTCATGATAATTATCCGAGTCCTATGCTGGATTTGATCTATTTTCTCCTGCCAAAGTTATATTGCTTTGATGTTTGAAGATTCTCCAAGTTGTAGGTATTGGAATATATATATATATATATATATATATATATATATAGATAGAGAGAGAGAGAGAAAAAAAAAAAAAAAAAAAAAAAAAAAAAAAAAAAAAAACTTCACGGAGAAGAAAGAAAGCATACTTGTGAGAGAGAGAGAGCATATCTAGGCTTTTTTCTCTGCACCAGGACAGGAGAAAAAAGTTACATTTGACGTTCATGCCATGCCTATCAAATCAGAAGGGTTATTATCTCTAATTCTAAAAAGAACCTTGGTACACAAATAATCTCCATCGGAACACGCAACGAGACTTGTTAAAGATAAAGAACCGCATCAATGATTTTTCTTTTTTCTTTTATTTTTTTTAAAAAGTAATGACATTCAAGTTGAGTAATTCGAAGGAAATGATGAGTTGAATACTCCTATTGATGGATATATTTAAATAGATATCACGTCACTTTTTTTTAGTTGAATTTATCAGATGAGAAGTCTTCAAATCTCCATTTAGTTCAAACTTTTCGACTTTAAAATTATAGTCATTTTTAAAAACAAAATAAAACCAAGTTCTGAATCAAACTCATAAAAAATCATCTTGAGAGTTTTATACTTTATATAAAAATTCCTAGTATTTCTCAGTTTTTGTAGCAGAATAACTTCTCCTTCTTTTTTCTTTTCAGAAGGTAGCAGAATAACATTTTCTATAACAGAACTGCTAGCTTATATATATATATATTGATTCGTTATTAAATATATGCTCAAGTCAGTAGACATTTAACTAGTTCGTGTAGAGGTTACCAAAAATACAAGAACATAAAGTAAAGAAGAAAAATGCAGTGTATGGAAACCCCCTTATATACCTTATTGTAGTTTTAATTTCAAGTAACTTAATTTTAATGTCCTATGTTTTTCAAAAAACTTCCAAATAATTATTCATATTCTCTCTTCACATTTATTTAGCGAAAAAGAAGATATTCTCTCTTCACATTTTCCCCAACACACACACACCTACGTACATATATTTGTGATATTACATTAATTGTTAATTTGTGACTCACTAGAGGGAAAAGCATCATGGTAACTTTTTGACATTGACTACCTTCCTTAGTTATTTTAGTTGATTCATGGGAATGAATGAATAAAAAAAACAGAGATTTTGGAATGCGTGTACGTGTAAAGGTTCTGCATATGAAAGCATGCACCAAAATGCAAAGATTTTACTTAAAAGCTCATTAATTTTGACTTTTTGTGATATATTTTACTAATGTTAACCACTAAATGTAGATTTAGGTAAACATTGATTTGACCCAACTAATCTTCTTTTGCTAATATATATATATATATATATATATATATATATATATATATATAACTTTTTAGTCATCAAAGTTTAGGCAAGAACTATGTCCAAGCTTCATCTTTACTAGAACTAAAGATTCCATACATTACATATGAGACTATAACAAGTTTCTACGTAGTATTAATTAAAACATTTATTAATTTCACTATATTATTGTTTGAATAATAGTACTTTTTGTTAATTACAATCAACAGTGAAGATAATAAATATTTGGACTAGTGTTGACCGACAAATCACATGGTTCATATGGGCCATGAGAAAATGTCCATTAATTGCAGTGTCCTTCCTTCTAAGACGATAGATAAATATGAAGATCATTACGTCTTTGTGAAAAAAAAATAATGATAAATAAAAGGGGAACTTTTTCTTTCAAAAGAACACTTTAACCAGCTTCCGAGAAGGATCATTTCCGCTAAAGCAAAGTGAAAAAGCTAGAAAACTAAATACTATCTTTTAGTATCATTTTTTTTTTTTTTAACAACATCTTTTAGTATCATGAATAAAGTAAAATTTAATGAAAGTACTGTAGAAACAAAAAAAAATTATTGTATGGTTCCAAAATCATCAGTCACAAACCAATTATGTGTTGACACACAATAAATGTGCCAATTTTGTGTCAATATATATTTTTTTTATGTGTCAATATATGATTGATCAACACGAATGATTCTGGGACCATTTTTCCAAAAGCAAGAACAGTTTGTAGCCAAGGAAAATAGACCCCAATCTATCTTTTTTGATATACATATAACACACAGATATGTTTATTGTTTCCTTTGTCATTTTCACCGTATGCAAGATATGTAAGGATTTTTTAGTTCATACTTTTATATGGAAAAATTAAAATCATTGTTAATAATTTAGGAATCAGGGGTGAAAAAATGACATGATGAAGCAAAACTATGACTATAAACTAGAGAGAATGTGAATATAAAAAGAACTTAAATCGTAACATTGCACACATACACAACATGATGGAGTCGGTGCCTCTCCACTGATGCTTAATTTTTTTCCTTTCTTTTCCAATGTAAAACATTTTCTATAACATGTTACCAGTGTGTTTTTAAGTGTTTATTACAAAAAGCCCATACATGAATTGGTGTTTCCTTGATTGGGTCTCTATCCAAATAGATAATTGGGACTTATTGCTAGTGCTAAAAGATAAGGTATGGCCTATCAATATGTCCTATCTTTAATTATCCAAAAACAAAA